CTAGTCAGTACTGCGGTGGGGGACCACGCCGGAATCCTAGGTGCTGAAGTTCTTTTTTGCTTTTTCGGACCCTATTTCTGACATTTTTTTCCGAACCGCTTTTCGATACCTTCTGGTCTTTTCTTCACAGTCACATCAATGAGCCCGTGAAGGTTGTATTCCCTGTGATCATTGTAAGCCTCCAATCATATCAAACCCATATGTTGTTTTCAACCCAGCAATTGACGCGATAGTAACTGGAGGTGTGGTACCAGGGACGCTCCACGGAGGCAAGGATCAGAGTGGGGGTAGAGTTCGACCACGGTTTGCTCTTCCATGGGCGAGGTCAAGGTTGTACCAGGATGAGAGGTCCCGAACCATGGGATTGCATAGCCGCATCGCTGAGCTGCTGTGTCGGCGTATTCGGCGAGATCAAAAGATACCATCCGGTCAACGGTTTCCGTTTGCAGACTCTATGTCGCAACAGCTGAGAAGAAAGTTCAAGACGCCGATGCTCGTTCTCGCGTATGCAGAGAGAAAAGCCCGATCAGATACGCGATGGTGTTCGGTGCGTCCGAAGACTCAGCCTCCTGCGTGACCTTCTTAGACAAAGGTACATTAAGGAATCCTTCCGTTCTCATCTCTATGTACCTCCATCTTACCATTGCACCCACCTCCTGAAGACTATAACCATGTCAGGATCAACTCCCATTCCAGTCTGTATTGTGGGCTTCGGCAACTCGGCTCGCACCTTCCACATTCCCTTCGTACTCGCCCTGCCGCAGCTCTTCACCCTTCACTCGATCCAGCAGCGTCCGCGCAACCCAGCCAACACCTCCTCATCTCCTGATGCTTCCAAGCTGTTCCCTAACGTCACTATCATTCCTGACTTTGACAGCGTTCTCACCACGCTCCCAAAGAACGGTCTCATCATCGTGACCACCACCAACGACACCCACTTCCCCTTCGCCAAGCGTGCCCTCGAGGCTGGATCCAACGTCCTCGTCGAGAAACCCGTCGCCACCAATCAAGCCGATGTTCAAACCCTCATCGACCTTCAAGAGAAGACTGGCAAGCTTTGCGCCGTCTACCAGAACCGTCGCTTCGATGGCGACTTCCTGACTATCCAAAGCTTGCTCTCTGACAAGGGAGCTGAGCCTTCTGCGCTTGGTGTGCTGACCTACTTCGAGTCGAGGTTCGACAGGTTCCGACCCTATGCCAAGGGTGGCTGGAGAGAAGAAGTTGACCCGGACACACAGGGCGGTGGTATGCTTTGGGATCTGGGAAGCCACTTGATCGATCAAGCCCTCTTCCTTTTCGGCCCTCCCCAGAGTGTCACTGGCTTTGTTCGCAACCAGCGCAACCAAGGACCTGCTGCTGTCGATGACGACTGGCTTGCAATCCTGAACTACCCCGAGTCGGCACCTCTGCCTCCTTCTTCGCCTGCTGCCGGGTCCAAGATCGGCGGTCTCCGAGTTTCGCTAGGAGCAACATGTCTTTCGTCTCACGTCGATGCTGAGCAGCCCAGGTTTAGGGTCGAAGGCATACACGGAAGCTACGAGAAGCGAGGCACTGACCCTCAAGAGAACCAGCTCAAGCTGGGTTGGACTCCCTCCAGCCACCCTGAGGAGTTTGGTGTGTACAGCGAGACCAACGATCCCGACTCGATTCGATTCGGAAGATTGACGACCATGGCTAGGTCGAACAAGGACCTTTTCCTGCCTGCACCAGGTGCTGGTGCACCTAAGCAGCCTCAGTTGTCCGTCGCCAACATCCCTACGCTGCCAGGAAGGTACATCGACCTGTTTGCCAACGTTGCTGCCTCGATCAATGCTGCTAAGCAAGCCGAGGCGGAGGGGAAAAACGCAGCCGAGGCGATCCGGGCTGTCTCGCTGGTCGGTGTGGAGAGGACTCTCAATGCTGTCAAGCTCATCAAATTGATCCGGGAGAGCAGTGTTCAGCGCAAGACTTTGCAATGGTCTTAGTTTGGCCATCTGAATATCATGGTGATGTAGTCATTAGCTGGTCTGGAGTGAGTCGTAAAGTCTGAATGTCTGGGTATCATTTTGAGTGTCTGTCGGTCTATCTTGGATCCGAAGCGGTTTGGAGGGTAGGAGGCTACGACTCGCCCTTGACGCGGCGCTTATAGTCTTCAGGGCTCTCGAACTTCTTTCCAAGGCTCCACATGCCGATCTTTTGTCGTCTGTACAGTTCAAGGTAAGCTCATTGTCAGCATGAGCATTCTCTCAATCAATGTAAAGAAGCGTGCTGTTGGTGTGTGAACTTACTTTGCTTTTGTTTCTGCTCGTTCCAACGCACTCAAGCCGGTTGTTGACTTCCTCCAGAACTTGGCCCACCACGTTGCATGTCCATAGTCAGCTCCAGCAGCTCGGTACACCATCGCCCAGCCCTCCTTCACCATCGCTAGTGAGACGTTAGTCTTGCCGAACACATAAGGTGGCTCCCAAATATACGGTGTTGCAACCAACCTCTTGTACTGATCGATGTGCGATGGGTATAGCCAGACCAGCTTTCCTGAGATTTCGTTCGCTGTTGCTGACCCACTTGCTGGTGTCGTTTTGTCTGGAGTCGGTGGATAGAAAGTGAATTTGCTTGGAGGGGTCGTCTTGTTTGGTGTAGAGAGAGACTGAACCATGGAAGTAAGAAATACTTTCGCTTCTTTTGAGAATGGTTGTGCTGGTTTGCCGAAGTGACCGCTTTCAGGGGCATCAACGCCGGCAATGCGGACTGATATGGTCTCGCGTACTAGTCTGGATCGACCACCAGCACCACTGCCTTTGGTCTTCTTGATGGCCCGAGGCGGCCAAGGATAGAGCCAGTCACGTAGGTAGGGTGGACCCGGTGTGTGGTGGAAGCGGAAGCCATCGGCGTCTCCTACTGTGACAACGCGGCCGACCAAGACCTTGCGATAGCGAAGAACGGCAGGTGTGATGAACTCGGCATTTGGGATCCGTCGGAAGTAGCGCCACCAGAGGACAGCACCGAGAGAGGTGGTAGTGATGCCGGCCACTGCAGCGCCGATAGGGTTGGAGAGGCTCGTGCCGATAGCTCCTGTTGATTTCTCCACCACTGACCATACTGTGATCTTTGATCTGTCTGTTGACAGTGGTGAGGCCATTATCGTATCTGATGCTGAGCTTGGCCGTGAAATCGTTGTCTCTGCTATGTTGTTGGTTCGAGAAAGAGACGGGGATTGAGACGGAACATGTGTTGACGCTGACAGTTTCTATGATTCGGCACTTCCGCTGGAGGCAGAAAGCATGGCAGCCTTTGTCTGCGGAGGCTGGATGGTGCTTCGGAAGCTTCTACAAGGTGGTTATGATCGTGATTGTGGTGTGTCAAAAACGAAGGGTGAGGTCAAGCTTGGACCTCGGCAAGGCTTCCCTAGGATGTGGTGCAGTTTGCCCACTCGAGCCCAAAATATCTCAGCTTCGAATTTCGCCGAAATCACAACACACGCTGCTGTTGTTCTCGAAACCAACACCTGCTCCATCACGCACGTGCCATTGCAAGTATATTTGGCTTACCGGAGCCCCTCCGCTCCACAACGCAAGGTCGCCAAGCAAGCAACAGATGACAGCTAGAATCGAAAAGCACGCTCTTTAGATAACTTAGCACCGTCGAAAACAGGGGTCCGCCCGAGAGCGAAGCCGTCTCTCTCGCCATCATCTTCTCAATTACAAGCAAGCACATGCAAGTTCACTGCTTGACCAACTGTAAGCTGTGAAGAATTAAAGAATTCAACTTTGAGCTGCATTAGTCGAGCTTCCTGCCTCGATTCTTGGCTGGACCATGAGTGCTGACAGTGAAAGGCTCGAAAGGAGGAGCAACACCGCTTGAACCAGAGCTCAGCCCAATCTTCTCTCCATCACGCTTTTTCTGCTCGGCCAAAGCCTTGTCCCCGTTCCAGTAGTACACCACCTGTGCCGCAATAGCCGCATTGAACAGTGTCGCCAGTCCAAAGCCATACAGCAACAGCTTGTCGCTCGTCTCGGTCATTGTAGTGAAGACTCTGGCGATGGTTCCGAGAAGCTGCGCGAAGACGACAATACTGCTGAGTTGACCACGACTCTTGTCCTTGTATAGCTCGAGCATCTGTGGGACCTTGGACGCGAGCGAGATCGGGATTGTCAATGCCTGCAGGAAGATCAAGGTGGAGTGGGTAATGACAGAAGGTGTAGCCAATGCGAGAGAGCCAATCGCCATGAGTGCAACTGCTACCGTGAGCTTGGTAGAGTGAGTCGATGGATCTACACGGCCCCACTTCGAGCTGGGAGTATAGGCGATGACCAGGAGCAAGATAATCATGTTTTGCAACGTCAAGCTCAAGTTTTCGCCGTATGTCGAGAATGGCAGTCGTGATCGAACAGCGTAGGCGAGCGAGATGGTGTAGGCCATCACTTCGAGTGTGTACATCGAGAGCGAGATACCTCGTGCACTTCGATTGTTGACAATGTTGAGGATCTGAGGCACCTTCATGATACTGCCGAAGACGACGATGCCCAACCCAAGCGCTTTCGAGATCGCATACTTGATGCAATGTGAAGAGCTAAAGTCGACATTGTAGACCAGCGTCGTATAGCATTCTTGACCGATCAAGCCAATGGCAGGTTTCTGTACGAAGAGTGGCAGGTTGTGTGTGACTGATTGAATCGCGGACTGCATGTCGAGCGAGGGGGATGCTGACTTGTCGCTGTTGCAAGCGTGGTCAAGTCGGGCCTAGAGCTTGCGGTACCTGAGTAAGCGAGTGACTGTGGTCAAGAAGGACGATGGACAGTCGGATGGAAGGACCCGTGGATGGCCAAGGCGCAGAGCCCGCTTTAGCCGAATTCCTCCACACGGGACACGGAACACGGGCGCGCCTGTCATTCCGCTTCCGCTCTTACATTAAAATTCTTTAAAAAAACACGCAAAAAAAACCCCCCGTTTAAAGCATATAATCAACTTTCGCAATGCTATCTCCTGCCAAAAACGTTGCGAACAACGGCAGGAAAAAAAAGTAGCACTCGTCGGTTTCGATCCGACGACCTTTGGGTATCACCACTCATCAGAGTAGAAAGGTTTGTGTATGAGCCCAACGCGATACCCTCCTTCGCCAGAGTGCTCTTTGATTGCTTGTGGAACCTGAAAATAATTAACCATACATATACCATGACAGAAACGATATCGAAACTCGCTTGTCGTTACGCGTGGAAATCCATGCACGTCACCAGTGTCAAACAATGCAAAACCCCGGAAGACCCCGGTCAGCGATAGTATGGCTATATGCGCTCAAATTTTCTCAAAGAAGCTCAGTTTCGAGCTGAGTATCACAAAGATGGCTAAAGAAAGTGATTGTATACAGTTTCTGGACAGAGAACAGAGAAAACAGGGTAAAATGAGTGAGATCCGACGAGAACACCCTGCACTACCACCATCCTCGTCCGTAGCAAAACCACCCGCCCCACCGACACTTTTTACGGAATGACAAAAACTTTCTCCCGTCCCCAGTCTCAGGAGCCCGTCTCTAGTTCCGTTGAGGGCGTGCTTCCCCTCGCTATGAAGCGGAAAACGTGTGTCTCGGGCCACGTTGTCATCCTTAGCCGAGACAAGGGAGTGACCTCGTTCCGTGTCACCAAGAACAATGGCAAGCTCACTGCCGATTGTTTAATTGACACAGTCAACGAGTGGATACTTGTAACCTGTTTTCTTGGTTGTTGACCTGTTCATTGTCATCTATGATCTTAGGTCAGAAGCAGGCTCGACACACTCGAGGAGGCTAAGGCGGAGGCAGACGTTCTCAAGGACAGGCTGGATGCCGAACAGAAGGTCAAAGTGGCGGAGTGGGTGAAGAAGGCTAAAGATATCACGGTCAAACAGAACAAGGACGGGATCGCTTACATTTGGGTCTGAAGCGATGCTGCAGGCACAGAGAAAGAGGTCGAGGTGCTTTTGGACGATGATGACTGGCGCAAGTTTATGGGTGCTACGGCAAACGTGTGGATCTGGAATGGCCGACCTTGGCTCAAGTTTGATGGAGGAGGTACAACCTTGCTCGGTACCTCTGCAAGCCTCTTCCTTGGGAGCTCACGGATAACATCTATAACATGCCTCTCGACAACAGGCGCAAGATTGTTCGTGCAGCTACCCGAGGTGCAAACGGACAGAACATTGGCAAGACGAGCAAGAGCGAATTCATGGGAGTACGCTGGTACCAGGAACGCTGGAGAGCCCAGGTATGCGTAGAAGGCGAAAAACGCGTGGCACAGACGACCTTCGAAGAAGTCAACAAGGCAGTTGAGCTGTACGATCTGGCCGTTTTGTCTCAGCACGGCGTCAGAGCCAGGCTCAATTTTGTGGAGAACCTCTCCGAATACCTAGGCATGCTAGAGCGGGACGCCACTAAGGAAGAGCTCGCCGACTTCTTCCAGGATGGGCGAAAGGATCCTGTGCTCGGAAAGCGTAAGGATACTAGTAAGCAAGTATCGTACTTTCACCCGTTTCAAAGTAATCAAGTTCGTTTCTGGTACTTATCGCGATAGTGGTTGTAAAGGTGCGCTTCCCGTGAAACGTGAACTCGGCGAGTCCGACCAGAACGCTCGCAACGGCCTTGATTGTAGTCCCACACATAGCCTGGACCGCAGAAAGGGGGTTGAGTCAGTCGGCACTCATTTCCTTGACGAGAGTAGTTGCAGGGGCATCTGGTGAACGGCTGCCAAGGACGGCATTGCCTCTGCTTAGCCTCGAGCACATTGGAGGAGGACTCTTCGATAACGCTTCGTTGGGCCAATTCGGCAGTAGGAGTGACGGCGGTGGCACCGGGCGAAAGCACACCCATGAAGGACAAGATCGTGGCCAAGGCCACAAAAGAAGAGATGCGAGCCATGAATGCGATGGGAGGGTGTTTGGTTGGGGAAGAAGTGGTGGGGGATCGGAAAGGGATGGAAGCTCCAGCCAGATCGTCGCTTCTTTTATGTTTTCGAGCTGCCTCGATGTCTAGCCTCGCGCACTCAATTTCTCATTCAGCACGCCTCAGCATGGTAATGGTCACGGCCATCACCACGGACATGGCCATCATCAGCGCCACCACCACGGTCACAACTGGGGCCACCGCCACCATCGCGATATCGCTGGAGACAATACCGAGTTCATGAAGCTTACCGACATTGAGGCCCGTGACTATCGCTACAAGGGAGACAAGAAGGGCTGAATAGGAAGCTATCGAGACGAATGTCTAGGCCGCTCAGCAAGGCGATCAAGCGCCTCCTTGGTCCTTTACGGCTCCGCTTCGGCCTCTCTTCGGCTTCAACTCCCTTTTCGCTTCACTCTCCACTCTCAATTCCGTCGCAGTTCTTGTTGTCTCTTGCTCCGACTCGCCCATTCTTAATGCGCAGCTAGGTTCAACGCCTTCGCGTATCGAGCTATGGTTCAATCCCCTCTCCCTTTTTTCAGTTTTGCATCGATCCCGAGCACCGTCGCTTCCCAGGCTCACGTGTATCCCTACTCCGATGTATCAACACGTTCTTATCATGTATCAGTTCATTGTGTCTTCCCATCTCATTTCTTCTATCCCAACAAGTTTCACAGCCGCTGTGACTTCTATGAGTTTGTCTTTTCGATCAGCGCGATTGGTGTAGGAAGGGTCGAGCTTCCATCTCGGTCTTGACCTTGCAAATCCTTGCGCAAAGCAATGAGAAATAACAGCTGCGCCGATGCAATTTGTTCTCTATGCAGGGCTCGAGCGAGCGTTTCATATTTCGGAAGGCGTAATACGATTGTCAAACACGACAGAGAGCAAAGGGAGTCAACACACGTCGTGGCTCTGGCATTGCAACCACTTGTATTTGCCACCGGAGCCTGATCGCTGCACTCGGTCACACTCGTATCGGACCTGGAGACATCCTCACCGCTGATGAGACAGAGCACAGACCCGAAATTAGCTTTATAAAGAAAAGGTACGGCAATGAAGCAAGCAGGTGTCCGTGCGAGCGTACCTGATTGTCTTCGCATATATCGTATCTCGGCGGCTGACAATTTCATCGAACTCGGGCCTGAATCAGGCTATCCTCCCATCCTTCATCACCGCATCGATCTTCGATCCTCACCTTCGCACATGAAACGATGTGCAGCGGCATCAAGGCCCGAACTTCAGCCTTTTCCGACACAATGCGGTTCGGCTAGCACGGTTCGCGCTTCATCTGTGCCTTGACACAAGGACTCACTTTGGCGATTGTCAGTCACTGGCGAAGTTGAGGCTGTGTTCGTTAGGCGCAAAAGCAAGGCAAAGGTAGGCACTTTGCCCCATATGAGCTCGAAGCTTGCTGGCGACGAGGACGATCTAGATCAGCCGACTTCTTCAGAAAGCCTCGACTGGCAAGAGGGAGAGAAAGTCACGGCAGGAATGCGGCAACGAGTCGGACTGAAGTCGAACTAGCTCGTTCTCGAAAAGCAACCAGCAGCCACCCCTCAGCTGAATGCTCGGAAACCCCTCAGTGGAACGCTTCTAGCAGCCATTTCGACCACAGAGCGTATAAGTATCGAGGGGAATGGAGCAACAAGAACAGATTCAAGACCATCACACTCACACTCTCCATTCCAACTCCCATTCACACCTCTTCACTACTCTTGCCTGCACAATTCTTATTCAACCCAAAACCTCAAGCACAACACTTCTTCTTACTCACACCTTCGCTCCTTGACAATATGGCTCGCCTCTCGTCCGCCCTCGTGATGGGTGTCATGCTCGCCATGAGTGGTGTCCTCATTGCCACCCCTGCCTCAGCCAAGCCTGTTCACGGCTCGAAGCTCGACCTCCAGGTCGAAGCCGCTCCTTACAGCAAGCGCAACCTCGAAGACTCGAAGCATTCAAGCCCCGAACTCGAGCGTCGCACTTTGGGTCTTGTTCCTGCTGCTGTCGGCCTTCTTGGCGGTGGCGTTGGTGCCGATGCTGATGTCGATGTCGGCATTGGTGGTCTCGTCGGTGCAAATGCTCACGTCGGCGTCGGCGTTGGTGATGGCCCTCGGGGATATTATGGATACCCCTACCATGGCTACCCGTACAAACACCATTCTTATGGCGGCTATCCTTACCCTGAACCTTATGAGCCTTACGGCACCGGATACTACCCTCGCGGTGGATCTGGTGGTCGTGGCGGTCGTGGCGGACCCGGTGGTCCTAACGTTGACGACGATTGTGATGATGATGAAGACTACGATCAGCCTCGTGGCGGCTATGGTGGATCTGGAGGTCGTGGCGGCTATGGTGGATCTGGAGGTCGTGGCGGCTATGGTGGATCTGGAGGTCGTGGCGGCTATGGAGGATCTGGAAGTCCTGGCGGCTATGGAGGATCTGGAAGTCCTGGCGGCTATGCAGGATCTGGAGGTCGTGGCGGCTATGGTGGATCTGGAGGTCGTGGCGGCTATGGTGGACCTTACGGTGGCTACAAACACCATGGCGGTTGGTCTAGCAGCCCTCCTGAAAGCTATGGCGGTGAGGGTGGCAACGGTGGCGACGGTGGGTCTGGCGGTCCTGGTGCTCCTGGCGGTCCTGGTGCTCCTGGCGGTCCTGGTGCTCCTGGCGGCAATGGCGGTAACGGGGGCAACGGGGGCAACGGGGGTAACGGAGGCAACGGGGGTAACGGAGGCAATGGCGGAAATGGTAGCAAAGGTGGTCGCGGCGGCGACGAGGACGACTGCTGATCGTCTCAGCTCATCCTTAAGCCTGCCATGCCTTCTGAATCTACAACCAAGAAGGCTCTATCATGTTCTGAAGACACGTATCATGTTTCTGTAACGCCCATGTCTCAGACTTTGCAATATCTCCGACCCTCTGAGTCTCGAACAATCAGCAATGCTCATCGTATCTCGCTTCCTTGCGTGTGGGCCTGTAAATGAGAATGTGGAAGGCTCAAGGCTCAAGCTGAGAAGCGGTCAGCCGAATGTAGTCGCTTAAGGTTGTCGACGTCAACTTCATCAAAAGCAGTCCTAGCTGAATTTCAGGGTCCAAGCACAGGTCGTGTGGGTGTTGGTCTGCGAGCACATGGGCAGTCTTGCTTCACTTCTTAGAGCTTCGAAAATCTTCTCAAGCAACAATCATCCTTCGTCCGACACTCCGCACTCACTTTAC